TTTGGGGCCCTGAGCACAAGAGCGAGTGCCTTTGTTCCGCACTCTCAACTCTATCCGTCGAGCTATACGGACTAAGATACTGCTGCTGTAGGAAGCATGAAAAAGTAAAATGCTAATACAAGCGAACGTGCTCAAACAGCTTCCTGACAGGGGGAGATCGACGCAGGTGTCGCATTAAGAGACAGCAAGATGAATAGATGGGATAACACTATGGCATTTATAACGGCAGATTAAGGGAAAATGCGTAACTCACAAAAAAGAAAAGGTGTAGGCAGGCGGAATCGAAGGAGTGTCCTGAAGCTGCCGAGTGCTCTTGTGCTGAACTACAGTGCCCTTCCGAACAGTAAAACAAATCTCTAGAACGGAAATTTTATTCTCTTGAGCTTTCAGCAATACTTTTTCTCGCCTTACCAAACACTCTTCGGCAATACGTTATTGTACAGGCACCTGTGCAGAAACCGGATCTGCGAACAGGTTGAGGCCCCACGAAGGGTAAACGTTTCCCATCGTAGGGCCGATCGAAGCACATCGCGCCCAAATAAATTGTCAATACAAGCGAACAAAAGTATTGTCTTAGCGATCGAGTCGTCTTCTTCTCAATTACTTCCTGGGACTCGCATGTTCGCTTATTGATGGCTAATAAGCCAGAAATGGCCATTCCAGTCTCCCTTATCTAGCCGCTATGTGGCTGCTGTCAGGGCCAGGAAATGAGACGTAAGTCAGAGCGGGCGGAGGAGCCCCGTTAAAGATCAGTGAAGGTTTTTCAACGAATGTCAACATCTCTCGATCTAAGCCGGCAAGATAACGACACAGTGATTCAATAACATACTCTGATAAAAAAGGTCACGAGTTCGAGCCTCGAGTAGTGTACTACTTTGGGTTGGGTGTGACTGGCTGATGATAGCTAATAAGCCAGATATTGCCATGCTAGTCTCCCCAGTCTTTGTCGGTAATACACCTTGTCACTGGGCACCTTTAACTACTAAGTTCGCCTGCTGCGAACTTCGTCAAAATTAGACCACAGTGTCTTTTGTGAAACCAAGAAGAAATGAGAGGACGAAGAAAAAAGAAGCACTCAATACGAATACAGTAGTTGCCGGTTATTAAGCCCACCTG